ATGTGTGAATTAAGACTAATTATAACAGCATAAAATTCAGCTGACCTGAACCTGTCCTGGCTGTGTGAACATAAATATTGCATTACAACTTATTGTACAACATATATCCAGCTTGCCAAATAGTGTTGGTTCACTTTCTGATAGACACAGATGTCTTGCTAGGGAGAGGAGCAGGTTCACTGCACTGGCAACAATGCCTGGGATGCTCAGAAGAATACTTTAAAACACTTTGGGTGTACAAGGGAGGCAGTGAGAAGCCACTACAGAGCTCTATGGCTGATTAGGACCATCAAAGAGACTGCTACTGAGATTTAAGTCCCTTTAGCATATTTCTTCCTTTCCCTCTTCACACTGAGACACTCAGCATTGAGTGAGGTCCCATGAACATGCTTGAAAAATAGAAAACCTCAGACACTTCTTTTTTCCTAAAGGTTGTTTTATTGTAAAACCATAAATACAACACTGACATGAAAATCCTCAAGCAACGGATGCTTTCTTACAGTTACAGTTTGTCTTCTGCCTTGGCATCAACTCTGAAAAGAATGTTGCAGAAACATGTCTCTAAGGTATCTCCAAATAACTGAGCTCTGGCCTGGAGTGCTCAGCTCGTTTGGAAGCTAAGTGGAACTATTCCTCTCTCTTGTGGAATATTTCCATTCAGACAGCAACAGACTTGTAAAAACAGCAACATTTAAACACCTTGTTTTTTTTTTTTTCTTTAATAATCCTTTTCATTTGACGTCAGTCTAAGTTTCAAACAGCACTGAATTTATTTAGCTGTAAAAACAAAACAAAACAAAACAAAACAAAATTCTAAAAAGAAAAAAATCAGAAGAACTTGAGTTGGCCTCAAGCGTTCATATATCACAATAAAAATCAGCAACTCAACCCCGTGCAATATTGCTCTCTATTGAGTCATTCGATCCACACCAACAATACATGAGACTTCAAACAGGTTTTGTTTTGTTTATTAACACAGCAAGTGTGACATTAGATAACCTTTTAAATACAGTACATGGTACAGTGCAGGGCCAGCTGCCCGCACATTTCCCCATTATGAAGACAAAGCCAGCGGTGGCGGTTTATAAAAATATTGTGTTGCTACAAAAGTATAAATTAATGCTACCGGTATTAAGAAATATTAAACACATAAAACTTATAAGGATTAAGAAAAATATTCATTAATACCTGTAGAAAACTCTGGCCTAAAAAAGATATTTTTTGTATATTTTTTGTATATTTTTTTGTATTTTTTAAGATGACATGAGATTCTTGCACTCGCAGGTAGAGACACACGCAGGTGCATCTGTGGTATTGCCTAGAACATCTGCATCTACAGAAAAGAAGGAAATGCACACAAGTTACTGAGGGGAGGGGGGTGAGGAGGGAAAGGAGAACATTAATTGTTTTCTTGATGAAACAACAAGAATTCAGCTCCCAGCAGGAGGTTTCCAAAAACGAACACACGAACGAGGAACAGCTTCTCTTTTCAGACTGGCTGCAAACAAGGATTTCCTGACGGTTTGGTTTGTCGGCATGACACTTTCTAGCTACGGCGGACCAGAATCCTCAGGTCTGGATGATGTGTGATCCTCCTGGACTTACAGCCTTGGCTAGCTACCTGTCATAAATATTTCAGCTCATCCATTATCGGTTTTCCTTTTAAATAATTAAAAAAAATATATTAAAAAAATCAGTCCCAGTAAGTTTTAAGGGACCATGGAAAACAGCTCCTTAGACTGCTTCTCCTTCCAGAATACACACCTCCTTCCTTGAGCGGAAAGTTCTTTCTCCATGGATAGCAAGAAAAAAATAAATGCCTCTTCCCACCCCCCCCAGCCCAGCGGAAAGAAAACAATCCTATCCACACATGTTGCAGAGACCGCCACAAGAACCCCTAAAAGACTGGAAATAAGCATTCAAGGCTGATGAGGCTGGAAGTGTCTTTTTAAGGAACTTTGGTTGTAAAAAGCAAGGGTTTGACATGCCTGTACTCATCAACTCCACTGCAAAATATTCCTGTCAGTAAGGCTGCTCTGCTCACCTGGGTACCAAGACACGCTGACCACTGCCAGTGATGCTAAAACGATCGCAAAAAAAGAAAATCCTTTCAGTCAGTGGTTGATGTTGTGCATGAATGAGCCATTTATGTGACTCATTTCAGAAGCTATTCTAGAAAAATCAAACTCAGCTGCCTACATTAAACTTTAAAGGGGCTACTGGATACACCGTTGTCTAACGTGAGCAAAACTTTTCTGTCAAGTTAAAAAGAAAGGACTCTATCAGGAGTAGTAGAAAACCCAACTAACCAGCCAAACAAAAACAAATAATTAAACAGACATTCCCCAAACATTCAATACATAAAATTAAATTTCAGGGCAATACACTCTCATTGGTTTACCATTTCTGGCCTAGCATAAGCAAACTATCCCACAGTACTAATGAGGCATTCAACTTGGAGCTGTGCTTGGCTTTACCTCTCCGTGTGTTATTGGTTGGTTGGTTTGGTGACATTTCCTGGAGCCCAGGACGATGACAACCTGTGGCATGGGGACAGGTCCCACGCGCTGGGAAAAGCGAGCTCTTATTGCTACAGGGTGACATCCTCAGAAGTATCTGACAAAGCACCTCGAGTCTCAGGTGATGTTTCTGGGCATTCCCAACAGATCCCATGAACTCAAGATTGTGGTGTAGCACAGAAAATGCGCAGCAGAAGCAGAAAACATTTTTACTCTCCCCTGCCCCTGATTCTTTCACCTTGGCATTACAAGGGGTGATGAGACATTTGCCCCCCAAACTGGTGTCACCTCCTCTGCCCTGCCAGCCAGCTCCCTCCCTCCTGCAGGGACTGGTGGGTGGCGTGGTGTTGGAGGTGAGTGGCAGGACGTGGGAGAAGATGCTCTCCGAGCCCTTCCGGACCTATCGGCTGTTGGGCAGGATGGGCTTCAAGCCCCAGCACCTCTGACCTCTGCACCCAGGCTCTTTCCTCCCGGTCAGGTCCTAAGCAGCCCCACAGAGCACACAGCCGTGCGGTCTCCTTTTCGTGACAGGGCTCAGGACACATTCCCGTAACAGACTCCTCCCAGATCACAGATTTCTCCTCAATAAAAACGTTTCCCAGAACCTGCCTTTAGTGTCCTTTTTTTTTGTGTTGTTCACTTTCATCCCAGTACTCCCAATTATTCCACAGGGAATAATCTGTTCCCTGTGAGAGCTCACAGGAGCTTCTCTCCCCTCCCTTAGGCAGAGATGCAATTAGAGATCTGAGTCTTTCCTCAGCACAAGCAGCACTCCAAGCCTCTCATCAACTTTTGGCTGCTCTTTTACTGCCTTTTGATTAAGCGCTAGCTTGGTGCTTGCCTAGAAGGCACGCAGTGCTCTCTGAGCAGCACAGTGTCTCATCACCCCGCTTCCGTGCAACACAGCGTCTCGGCTCGCCTGCTGCAGGACCCGTGAGGTGGAAACGATCCCTGTCCCTGGGTAAGGCTGAGCAGAGCCACCCACCAACACAAACACACGTAGGAATTTCTTCTCACACTAAACCTTCTGTGTTATTGCAAGCAGCTGGAGAAAAGCAAACCACCCAACCTGAGACATCTCACTGAATCCTGTAATAACCCAGATATCTCAATTCAGAGCTCAACAGCTTTCCGAAGTGTTTCCCCTCTGTTTTCAGTGATTCCCGAGCTTTGAATGTGTCTGCCACACCTTCACGGGCAGAATTCACATAAGGGTCATGACTCCCTGAGATGCTTCTGGATGTATTCTCTAATCAGCAGGGGAGAACACCCAGCAAGCACAGTTAAACCAGTGCAGGCAGTTCTTAGGGATGCTTAAACCAATTTATCTCAAAGTTAGACTGTTTTACCCAGCAACAACAGAAGTCTAAATTAAGCAAAACCTGAGCCTACTGTTGGCTTCCACAACGTTTTCCAGATTGCACTAATTCAAAACCAACCAAATCAGGTTTCCTAGAACAGACAAAACTTCGACGAAAAGAAAAGTTTACTTCCATCTGCAGTGGACCCAGGCACAAGACACTGAGCCATCTTGCAAGCCAGAACACAGCTACCATCTACTGCTAGAGACAGGGAAAGAGACAGAGACGGATCTGGGCTCCACAATCTCCACTGACCTTGTGTGTTGGGTCTGTCTGGGATGGAGTCACCTTTCCCTGCAGCAGCCCACACAGTGCTGTGCTCTGCACTCGTAGCTGGAACAGCACTGGTATCACTCCAGAGGTGTGCCTCGCTGCATGGGGCTGGCACAGCATCAGGACTCCTTCCAAGTCCCCAAGAGCCAGCAGGCTGGGGGTGGGCAAGTGATGGGGAGGGGACATCGCCAGGGCAGCTGACCTAAACCAACCAAAGGGATATTCCATAACACCTGATGTCACACTCAGCAATAAAAGGGGGGCTCTTGTGGGGGAGGGGGCTGTTCCTCCTGAACAACCACTACGTGTTTGAGGCCCTGCTTCCCAGGACGTGGCTGAACATCTCTCGTTGATGGGAAGTAAAGAACATTTTTTTTTCCTTCTCTCTGTGCTTCCACACAGACTTATTGTTTCTTTTGTTTCTTTTTCTCCCCATTCCCTTTCCCTTTAATTCAACCTTTCGCATCTCAAACCTTGAGCTCTCTGTGTTGTATTTTCTCCCCCTTCCTCTTTGAGGAGAGGGGGAGTGAGAGAGCGGTTGTGGTGGACCTCAGCTGCCCACCCGAGTAAAAGCACCACACCCTGACTCTGTACTCACAAAGAAGCAACCTTCCACTGTGAAGAGCTCTGCCTCTGTACGCTCCTTCCTCAGTTTTGTTTTAACACGGATCTTCGGACAGGACTGGAATGCCCTTCATTCTTTACAGCTCACCTTCTGTTGGTGCCTGCTCCCCACCTGCAGACACAACCACTCTCAGAGCAAAGTGTAAATCCAAGAGAGCAGCCTGCAAGGTCAGGCTCAGAACAAGCAGCAGAAACAAATGCATGTTCAGAGGACACATACAGCTTTTTTTTTTTTTTTTTCCATTTCTCCAAACATCTTTCTGAAGTGCAAGTATAGGAAACGGAAGAAGCAGAAGACAATTCCCAGCATGACCTACCACAGGATGATCCCAACTGTGAGGACTTTTCCCAGCCCACGGGAAGCAGAACCTCATGACAGCTCTGGCCAAACCCAAGAGGGCCTCTCTCCTCCTGCCTCCCAGCACAGGATGGGCAGGACTCCTCACAGCACAACTGCTGCTCTGTACAGAGAGCTACCACTGAGCTGATGCCAATAACCTGGAAAATAAGTTTCCAAAATTCAGACCATGGCAATGTATCTACACTCCCTAGAATGCAGTCCTGAGTCTGAGTCCTAAGGAGGGAAGGAGAAATAGGAGCAAAACCTTGGCATTTAGAGTAAATCCGCATGCTCCAGACGTGCTTCTCGCCTTTCAAAGAGGCAAAGGAACACCAGACACAAGCCAGCCCATGGGCAAGCACAGCACGAAGAGCTGCTCTGAGCAGGACACCCTGTGACCTTCTGAAGTCTCATGAAAAGCTGTGGCCTCTTCCACTGATCTGATGAAGAAGGGCTGGCCAACCAGCTTCTCTTCTCACCTAGACTTTCCACATTGCTCCATTAGATTTTGTTTTGCTTTTTTTTTCAGCTACTAGTTGAGTTTTTAAGTCTTTGGGAGAATCTCATCTGCCAGACATTGCTGTATGTTTGCTTAGATTTATCTTGGCATTAGTGCAATGATAACTGTGGATGTGGCAGCTACTAACTGGGGAGAGGGCCCATCAGTCCCTCTTTGGACACAGCAGAAAAGCTCCAGATCTGATGCCACATCCAGAATCTGAAAAGGAGAAGAGGAGCTACGGGTGGCTGTGAAAAGGAGAAGAGGAGCTACGGGTGGCGGTGGCCTGTCCACCCACAGGCCCTGGTTGTGACAGCCCGGCATTAAATGTTTGCACAAATAACTGTATTTTTACCTCAGTTCTGGGGCTTTAAACCTGTGGTAAGTTCTTGTTGGTCCACTTCCCTATCCTAATGCCTAGAAGACAGACACAACGAGCCTGAGTCGGCAGATCCCATAGCAGCTACCAGCCTGTCCCACAGCAAAGAAGTGCTGGGTTTGGAACTCTCTGAAAGGAACAAGAAGCTGTCACACCTTTGCCTGAGTGCTGAAGAGCCTGTGAGCAGCTCTTAAGAGTTTCAGGCAAACCAGGCAAAAAGATGTAGCACACCATTTGGAAAAAGCAGTACACATCCTGTCCCACTTCTGCCTGTCAGCTGAGCTCTGCAGCATCAAAAGCTAATCTTGCTTTGGACTTGTCCCTTCAGCCCAGTTTTTTTGCTGCAGGATCCCTTTTGTTTTTCAGTGGAACCTGCAGCATGGCACAAATACTTCATAACCAGCACACTTTGCACCTGCTGAATTATTTATTTTTGTTTGGTTTTAGTCTGAGACTTAGTTTTTGTTTGTTACAGGCTCCTCCTGCACTGCAAGCACAAATAAATAATGCTACTGTGGGCCCAGAGAGTGGCTGGGTGGGCAGGATTTGTCTGGGGGGAAATAAAACCAGAAAGAACAAACGTTGGCCCTGCGACCTGCACCTGTTTGAAAAGCCATTGCCAGAGAAATCAGATCTCCAAGTGCCTCCGCCTTGGCTACTCATCTGTACCTGCTGCTACCTCTGCAGTTGCCGGTGGGGTTGTGGACTACATCTTTTAAGTTATCCATATGCAAAACTCAGATTTAAGAGGGAACTAGTTTTGCTCTGAGGCCACTAACAGTGCCAAGAGGTGCTGTCAACCTAAGCTCTCTACTCAGGCTATAGTAAGTCCTGTTTCCAGGCTGAGAAGGGCAAGAGTCATCCTGGGGCAAGACACTTGGGTATAAAGAGCCATCGTCGGTGACCTTAATCTAGGGAAGGTCTCTAGCATGCAAACTGTTCCCTGTCTGAGCCCCATGGCAGTGAAGCTGTCCATTAGTGCCTGGCTTCCATGCCTGAACACAAAACCCGAGGCTGGGTAGGCTGAGCTGCGAGCTAGCTGACTGGCCCTGCCATTTCTCTTGTCCTGTGACATGCGACTTCTAATTCAACCAGAGATGGGCAGCTGGGATCTTGGTTGAATGTCTGTTCAACAACAGCATTCCAAAAAGGGCCCCCAATCTTACCAACTGCATCACCAGCAACCAGAAGCACCACCGCGCTGTTTGAGGGCTCCAGCCTCCAGCCTGTCCTTGGACCCTGCCCCATCCGTCCTCCCACACCACCACTGCTGCTCCGCTGCCACTGCGGCTGCAGCTCCTGAGGACACTACTGGAAGCAGAAGAGAATGCTTCAAAAACAAGAATTTGTTTCAGTTTGCCTCTGGGATACAAGTCCCAGTGATGAAAAATTAACAGTTTGGCACCAGAAGTCAGGAATTGTCCAAGAGGCACCAACTCTGACAGCTCGCAGAGATCCTGTCTAGCAGCCCAGGAGCTGTGCCTATGGGAACCAGACACAGCAGAGCACTGGCCTTGGTGGACAGCAGAGTGACTGAGATGTTTCTGTGTTACGATGATCTCTAATTGCATTCGGGGTGAGCCAGTAAGTGTGAACGTTTAAGGGCCGATGGCCTTCCTAGCCAGAATGATTCAACAACATAACAAGTAGTGTAATGCACTGTAGGTATTAAAAAGACATTCGTGCTACTAGAGGAAACCATTCCAAATAAAACAGGAAGATACTCGTCGCACTCAATCAGAAGCACTTACATTCAGAAGGATCTTTGAGCCCATGCGCTTCTCTAAGCTTCCTTCAAACCCTAGTTTGACAGAACTGATGATCTTTGTTCCCCTGAAAAATCATACACCTTGGTTTGTCCTTGGCCTTGTGAAGGCTATTTTGAGTGTGTGTTCTGGGAAGGTTTAAAAAAACTTTAGGTACAAGGGTTCTCAATGGCAGCTGGCAGATGCTGGCAAGCTTGCTGATGGCCAAAGACATCTGTGTTGTAACCACCTGCTTGCTTGTCCTGGTTTCTAGCTTTTCCATATAAGCAACAGCTGTGGCTTCCGTAAGGATATTATTTAATCATAAATGGGCTACTCTGTGAACGAATTTGAGAACCCCTGATGTACAGAATTCACAGAGAAGCTAATTTACACTGGGAATTCAGAAAAGAAGGTATGCTGTAAAAAAAAAATCCAAGAAACATAACAATTACAGACGTTTTCTGCCATGAATCATTTCTCTTAATTTTAAATCAAACTTACAATCACAGAATCACAGAATCACAGAATAGAAGGGGTTGGAAGGGACCTCAAAAGATCACTGGGTCCAACCCCCCTGCCAAAGCAGGTTCCTTAGAGCAGGTTCACTAGCTAAGAAGTTAAACTCAAAACTGGGAGTGGAGACAGAAGAGTGACTTTTGTTTTTTGTTTGTGTTTTTTTTTTTTTTGGAAAAACCCTATATGAAAAAGTTAGAATAAAAATAATAATAAAAACAATCTTAGAGTCTCCCTTCCTGATTTCTGAAGATACTGGTATTCATAAAACACAGCTGCCCTGATAACATGCACCGTATGTCAAGAAGGCTGCAGACAAATGCCCTCAAGGTGTACAGTTATTCAAAGGAGCAAAGTCCAGTGAAGAACTGGTCTGTTCAATGTAGTCTGATTATCCATGGCAAGATGGCCCAGGGGACAAGAGGAAAGGTGGGGTGGAGGAGAAACAAAAGAAACTTCAAGTCACTTTAGATCTCAGCTGCCTGAAGACTTTAGAACATCAGCCTCCCATTGGTCTGCCCACTTGAAAACATTAGAAAGTCTGTCAAGTCCACACACTATCTATGGAAAGGAGCACGTTCCTGGCAGAGGGCTGTCTCTCTCACGTGCTCAGCTTTCCTCTCAAACTTAATTTTATATATATTTATATTTTTATATATATATAAAAAAGCACTTGGTTTCCAGGGGCATTCATAATGAGGTCCACAGTGTTTAGAACTTAAAATTCTTTTTCTTTGTTTGGAACAGTGTTTTAAAGTTTTGTTTTAATTAAAAGACAGTCTTAAAGCATGTTGGACTTCAAAAACATGAGTTTGTTCATGTCTTCTGGACTGAGTAGCCGTCTCCTTTTGATTAAGAGAGCCTGCTCACACATATTTACACATTCGCTTCTGGCACCAACAGCAGGCACTGCTAAGAGCCAAAAGGCTAGCTTGGCTAGTTTTGTATGCTTTTGGGTAACACACGACCAGTACTGAAACAGGTCAGGGGTGGCCTGGAAGAGAGGTTCTTGCAAATAATCATAGACTTCATTTTTCCCGAACCAATCTTCTTCCTGAGCTGCTGTGGCTTCCCCTGCTGCCCGGGGCTTCTTGGTTGAAGGTTCAAATTCTGTTTCTTCTGCCCAGGACTCTTTCACCTCATTAATCAACTCACAGACCTTGCCAATGATCTCTTCGTGCTGGTATGGTGGGACGGGCCGCAGCTTCTGCTGAGGGTCTAAGATCATGGCTACCTTGTGTGCTGAATGAACTTTGAAGTTCTCCTTCAGCGCCTCCAAGAAGAGGTGGCAGAGTTTGCTGACTACGCCAGCATCATTAGCTTTGGAAGTGAATAGTTTCTCCAGTTTGACGTAGGTGGGCAGTACCAGCTGCAAGGTGGGCCGGCTCTCATTGCTCAACTCAATTACCGCCTGCTTCACCGGCGCCAAAATGGCCGCCAGGTTGCTGAGCAAGTGTTTGTTCAGGTTTTGGATGAGGTTCATCTTCTTGGCCCTACTGTAGAACTCGCAGATCTGCTCATAGCGCTCGTGGACAAGCAGGAGGGAGTCAGTGACTGAGTTCCAGCAGGGTGGGGGAGAGGTCTCCTCCAGGGAGCCAAAGGTCTCCTTTGAGAGGCCCGTGGATCCTGCCAAATCTTCACAGACATTCAGGAGCTCGATCACTTCGTGCATATTGCGAGCCTGTAGTGTTCTCTTATTCAGCACACTCTGCACTACTGAGTTCAAGGCACAGGCCGAACAACGCAAGCACATGCCTGCCTTGGAGAACGCAGAGGAATTGACTTTGCAGTCTGTGACGTACACCGTCCTGATCTCTGACATCACAAACTCTGAGAGCACGTTCTGTACCCAGTGGTGGATAAAATCACCATTATCTCGAATATCTACACCCTTAATTCCCAGGACATAACTCTTGATGTGGTTGCCTTCCACCTGATAAGCTGTCAGGATGTAGCAAGAATCAGGGCCAATGCTCTGTGAGTGGCAAGTGACACCGATGCCCAGGCAGGCATTGCTGCCCAGGGCGCAGGTTACTTTCACCTTCACTTGGTTGTACATCCGAGGCAAATGCTTCAGAGCCAGTGTGTTGAAATTGCCAAGAATTTCGGTGACTGAGAAGGCACCATAGCGAGCTCCACTGTCCACCAGGGTCTGCGCTAACTTGATGAACTCCTTCCCACTCACCACGCTCAGAGCCCCAAGGTCAGTGCACATCACCCTCAGGAGCCTCTCGGCAATGTTCTGCCGCTCCTTCTCCGGAATCGCGCTGTTCCCTACTGAACCACTCGCAGATGCTGCAGTCAAATACAAAGAGGGAGAGAAAGCAACAGATGAGAATTGTTCGTCTGCAACAGCAGGGGGGAAGTCAAAAAACATTGCTGAGATTGACCCGAGCAGTTGGAACATGCCCAGATGATGGCAGAGACATTCCAACCCTGCATTTCTTCCCCAGAGGTCTTCTGGACAGATGAACTGCCAGGGTACATGGAACAACTTGTTAAGAGCAGCTAAGACCTTATCTGCTTGCATTTCCTGGCATGGGGACTGAGACAGAGTACACACTGGCTATTCACAACACAGTGCCTTACTGATGGCATCTGTGTGGCATTCATTTAAGAACTGCCTAGGTTAAGTTATAATCACATGTGCCATTTGCTATCCATTTCTACAGGCTGGTGGTCACAACTCTGCTCATGTGGCTTAGCCCAGCTGGAAAGCTGAAATTCTTGCTATTTTTGTGATTTAAGCCTCTTCTTTGAGCCAGCTGTTTTAGAAGGGAAGCATACAACTTCTTCCACCATCTCAAGCAGTGTTGAAGCCCAAATTTTATTTTTTCCTCTGATCTCCAGCAACCCTACTTTTAGTGGATGATTTTTGGCAACATGAATGTCAGTTTTGGCACACTAGAACACATAAGCACCATGGTTTTGTATCACCCATCCACCGGGATGCTCAGCTCAAGTGGTTTGGAAATGCTTTCCCAAAGGGCTGTATTCTACCATGTCCCATGAAGCATAAGGTCTCAGGATGAGCTGGGGACAAAGCCAGATACTGGCTGCCAGCCAGCTCAGGAAGCCTATGTCACACAACACTAAATGGAGCAATTTCTTAACCCCAGACTGGACGTCTGACCTTGCTGAAGTTAACTTTTTCCAGGCATTCTCAAGTGTGCCCTTACAAATGTCCTCCCCAGTTTCCCCTGTACTTTTTGCATACGAGTACTCCTCTAATGGGATGGTTGCTCTCCTCTGAAGGGCTGTACATGAATAATAGATGAAATCAAGTACAGACAGGGTAGGACAAGAGCTTTGTGTGATGCCTACATTACTGCTGCGTGTACACCCTGACAGTCACGCCTTCAAACCCAACAGGTAAGCCCGGGACGAAGACCAAACACTGCTACATACTATTGTTGGCGTTATTTCTTTGGAGCTGTGGTTTCCACTTTTCTTCAACAACAGCTAGAGGTGATCTGGGCTGGCTAGAGGCAATATTGTTCTCGTTGTCAGCTGTGGGGCAAGAGACAGGGAGGTGTTAGAAGCACAAGATACTAATTCTTAAAGCACAAAGAAGGGGAAACAATAGCCATCTGTTTAGCATCTATTTACGGTTCCCTAACTAAGGTGACCCCAATCTACTACATTCTCTGTAGTAATTCAGAAGTTTTCAGAGATGGCAGAATACTGTCAGAAACCTTGAAAACTGTCTTGCACCCCGTCACCTTCCCAAAACGTGGCTGAAATGACATTAACTTTTTATGTGCATCGGTGACATTGATGTCATCAGCACAGCTTGAGAAATGTCTCAACATTTTGGGAGGAACAGATGCTCCTTGTGCAGCCTGACCTATGCAATTTGCTTGCTTTCAAAATGAAAGCAAGGTTAACAAATATTTATCCTTCATTTGCCTTATTGGTTTTCTTTCCACATTGCAAGTTGCTCCCCTTTCCTCTACTGGAACTACTTCGTGTTTTCTTCCCAATATCCCTCAGGCTACTCACTGCTGCCTCAGCCTGGAAATAAAAAGAAAAAAAAATGTTTCCGGAGTATGACCAAAGATTGTTCCTCCCTATAGCTGCAAAGAAGACCCCTGTGGGTCGACTAGAGGTATTAATGCTCTATTTTCTTATATGTGACTGGGCTAAACACTTTGGCTGCCAAACTGCTGGGATTTTCCAAGGAAATGCAGACAAGATCAGTAAATTCTGTATCATGTCCATGTCCTTCCTTTCCTGTGTCCAAAGAACCTTTTCCCCACTCCAGAATTTTTCTAGTTGTTAGTATGCTTCACTATGAAATTGTGCTCTGAAATAGTCTCTGAAGCTATATTAAAGCGTACAATGAAGAGAGGTGGAAAAGGAAAGAGGAAGATGGACTGATGATCAAGCTGAACATTAGAATGGAATTAAAAACAAAGAAGACAAAAACAGATCCTTTACTTATCACAACTGGACTCATCTCACCTAATTTTGGACATCTCTATCAGACATGTCTCTCTTCAAGACAGCTCCTCTATGGCTTCTTTTACCCTCAGTGGTGTGAAACAGGCTTAGGGTGTGATTCATTCACCCAGCTAGAACAAGATGCCTCTTGCAGTATGAGATCCAACATGCTCAGAACTCACCTGGAGTCAATGACTTCTCCACTGATGTTGTTGAGGACAACATCTGTAGCCTAGATACACCATCATGCAGTGAAATTAATCCTGCCCCAGCACTCCAGACAGCAGCACATGAAGGAAAGGATGCTTTATGAAAGCACACACAGGTCTGAGGGCTTTGCTCTGCAGCCCAGGTTCATCTGGTGCTAGGCAGAGCTGTGGGCTGCCCATTGGAATGAATGGGAGAGCACAAAGGTGCTCTCCTTCATGTATGGCAATGACCTGGGAGAAAAGGGAGTCCAGCAAGGATCTAGAGACAAGCAATGATATGATGAAACTCCTCACAAACAAATCCTGTTAAATTCGAGCAGCTCTGCATCTTAACTGCTGGGGCATTCATAAACCTCGAAGATGAACAGTTCTTGTTAGGCTTGGACACAGACTAGATCAACACCTCGGAGAAATCCAGGGTATGGCAGAACCAGAGCCCAGCCAGGGCTCTGAGGGACTGCCTTGAGTAATGTAGGCGCCCATGGAAACCAGGGTGCACCGTGGTGGTTGGTGGCTGGGGAGTACCGCCACGCTCAGGACTGCAGCCAGAGGTTGGTCTTTCCATGTGTGGAAGAGACACAATGAGCAGGAGGTGCTTCAGTGAATGCCAGCAATCATATATAATAGCACCCTTCCCCCAGCATTTGCATAGACTAATTGCTCCTGACCTAATGCCACAAGTGGCCTCAACTTAAAATGTCTGTGGGTAGGCAAAGGAAACTGCTGAATGTTGGCTACCAACTTGTTCATGGTTTGGGTGTATGAACATAAAGGCTTCCTCATACTGGTGAGGTGGGTGGGTGGAGAAAACCTCTGAATTTACTTTCCCCGACTCTTTTATCTATTTTACAGTAATAGGGAATTTATTCTCTGCAAATATCCATCAGCATTCAATGTGGCATAAATGAGGTTTGTACATTTTGGCCATATCTTCCTTATCAGGCAGTCTGTGAACTACACTGATCATAGTTCTTTAATTTGTCTTCATGCCTCCAATCCTTTAATCCAGATTCAGCCTAGTTGTCCCTTTATTTTTTAGCTCCAGACTGTTGGAAGGGCATTATATGGTGGTACTCGACCTGAACAAAGTACCCCAAAGGGAATCAAAGCTGTATATTGTTCAGAGTAATTACAGAACAAATTCTTTCGCCTGATGTTCTGCTGTTCTACTTCTGCCTTTCAGCCTCCAATTTGCATTCTAATTGCTTCTTCTCATTGTGTAGCTGTTTTATGGAGCTATAATCTCTTCTTATTACCTTCTAGGCTCCAGGCTCAGCCCTCTGAATGACTCAAGAGCCAGTACAACCCCGCTCTTGCTACTCGAAGCCAGCTGCATGATCCCTATCTTTGGTCACTTACAAGAGGGGCTCAATGGACGGGTCACATTTAGTTGCAAGAGATTAGCCCTTTGCATCAGACACAGCAAGCTAAACTGGGTCCCAAACACATCAGCTGAGGCAGTATTTGACATGGATGGGCTTTTTGGATCTCCACATGCCCATCGTGACATGTTCCTTGAACACAGGCACACAGACTGTTACAAATGGCTGTGCCAGCGTCCCCACTGCAGATCCTCTGCCTGCAGTTCTGCTGACTGGTAAGGCCTCTGCCTCCCCAGATGGCACAGACATCGTGCTGATGCTGCTTCTTGGATGTGCCAATCTGCAAGCTCTGACAGACTAAAAGGCAACAAATCTGCATCCACGGTAGCTGCACACCCTGGGTAATCTCTGCTGCTGCTCTCCTTGAGTATGGTTTCCAGAATACCCACCAAGGCTGCCTGAGGCTCTCACGCCTCTTCATTCTCATCCCACAGCACCAAATACTGCACTGTTCACCTCCAGCTGCACAGAGCTAGAAGAAAAGCTGCTGCTTTCCCCAGAGGACGAGGCATGAGCACATAGCCTGGCGAGCACTGTGCCCAGTGACACCACAGCGGGGACGACTGCTTGCATGGGGGGCAGCTTGGGCAGTGGCCTTGGAAACGCACTTCAGTAAGTGTAAGATATCTGGGGGGAAGCAGCCATGCAGAACACGGTGTCTTACAGAGCAGGAAAAGGTGTAAAACACAGAGTTTAAGAGGAACAGCCCTGAAATGGGGAGAGGGGATTTATCCATTAATCTAAGGTGACATTAATCTCTGGTGACATGTAATATAAGTGTATCTATGCATGACTCAGATCACAGCCACCTGTTCCCTCTGGCTCTATTCTGTGTTCAAAGCAAGCCAGGTAAGCAAGCCCAGAGGCCACTGGTCATTTGTAAAGAAAAGAGGAGGAAGAAGCTGCAGACAGCATTAGCTTAAAACTTTTGACAGCTTGCCAGTGAATTGCCCTTCTCCCCCCAGCACCTTAGCCTTTGTCCCTCCTTTGCAGCTCCTCTCCTCAGTCCTACTAAGAGCTGTAACTGCTGCATTTCCCCAGCAGAGATAAGAACAAGGAATAGGACAGTCAGGACACGGCAAGGAAGCAAGCACAAATTGCCATTCATGAGCAGCAAGGACAGACCCCAACACCAAGGAATGACACCAGCCCCATCACTGCTCCTCATCATGACCTAGCTTCCGAGCACTCCACACTAACCAGTTTACGCTTTAACAGAAAATACCATCCATAAAACTTAGCTCACTGTCTTACAACAGGTCACCCTAAAGGTCTATCCATGGCATTATAAAGATGATAAATAATGTAGCTGCTGAACGACACATGGAGCCTGCACTAAGATTTGCTAGTAAGAGCTGAGCTTGACTGAGGAACCGTGCACATGAAGAACTCAAGGGACGCTGCCACTACAATTAGGACTAAAAATAAAACAAAGAAACAAAATACAAACATTGATTAAATTTACTGTTACAGAACAGGATATATGCTTTTCCTCAAGCAATCTGTCCTTCCCTGCCACATTACTCAGGGCTTACCTGTGAAGTGAGCACAAATGCAAAGCACTGAATGTATACTACAACAGAGCAGCTGTCTGTTGGACAACACAGGTCTGCCAAAGGTGAATTAATTTGTAAACCTGCATCAATTCACTTGAATTTTTGATCAAGAAACGAAAAAAAAAAATCTGCTTATATCCAAAATGTGCTTTTTACTACATTTTTGAATATTCTGAATGCTGTCTTTGAAACAGCTTTGGCTTTGAAATGAAACAACCTTCTGTGTTGAGAGAGAAAACAAAAAAGGTGGCTTAGAAACAAAGTAGTTGAATTACTACTCCTCAGAATTTTCTACTGTAGATAACTGAGAAGGGAATGAACCCAACTGCTGAAATGGCAAATTCTTCTGAGAACACATTTCAGTCCTTTGCAGAACTCCAGGAGACACAAGCACAGAAAAGGACTTGTGTTGGCAAAGGCTCTGCTGCCCTGCAAGCATTTTTGCTTTGTTTGCCTCAGTGAGTACTACCCTGATTGTGGGAGGCGCAATTTCATCTGCTGTACGAAAGAACCATTAATGCTTACAAAATGAGCATTCCCTAGATACCTTTGGGTAAAGGGAATGAGCAGTTTGATTTGCTAGAATGGCACATGTCCTCTCTTCCTAGGGAAAGGAGCAGTATTTGTGATACACCCTGAGCCTCACGCTGCTGCAGCCGCTGCTGTGTGCTCCAGCCTTTGAGTATCTATTTTTGCTGCAGGTGAAGTTACTGGGGCTTTGGAAACCGTGAGCACGGGAAGCTCCATTGACACACAACGGGGTCAACATCAGGCATCAGCGCAGAATTTAATTCTCCGCTTTAAGCGAGTCGAGGTGCCCTGCTTACCTGCATGGGACTGCATGTGCTCCAGGAGATTGTTATAAAACTGGAACTGGATTCCACAAGCTCCACAGGTGTAAGGCTCTGTTTGGGAGAAATCAGTTCAGAAGAATTATACAGAGTATGCAGGGAAGCAGCACATGTGCGTACTTCAGTCTGTGCAGCAGCGGGGCAGTGCCCGAGGGCCCGGTGCGTGTCGCCGCAGCCCACGTGTGCTCGTCACAGTGAGTCCACAGAGCCAGCCCTGCAGGGCTCAGCCTGGGAGTGGGGAAAGCGCCGGGCACGCGACTGCTCCGGGGCCAGGGCGACTGCTCCGGGGGCCAGGGCCGGGAGTTTCTCTGCGTGCTTTTGCTTCACTGCCACGACATGGCCCCAGGCAGTGGAGCTGCCAGAGCACTGAAGCGAAGCACCTGCCGTGTGTGCATGCGTTGGGTATCAGTGAATCTGTGCAGAGCCTCAAGAGGCTGCAGACCAACTGGGCTTCACTAGCTCACGCCTGCTGCAGGCTGTTTTATGCTTATCCTTGTTCTTGTTTATGCCTCAAAGCATGGTGAATGCATTTTGCATCCGTTTTTGTCAAAATCCAGTTTCTGCTGTCTTTCGTGAGTAAGGCAAGGAGCACTGGGTTGTAAAAATCCTGTTGCTCAGAAGTTGGGACATGGAGAAGTGCCACATGGGGATGCGGATGACTTTTTTTGTGGCTGTTGTCAAGCACAGCAAGACTGGGGAATGGCGAGTGCCACTGGGCTCAGCAGCAGTCAGCAGCCGGGGTAAGCAGAGGTGGAGGGGAAGAAGCACAGAAATCAGAGCTGTGCCAGACGGCGGAGAGCGGAGCAGGAGAGCCGTGTTGCCAGAGTCATGTGGATGAGCTGGAGTCAGGAAAGAGCTGGGTGCAGAGCTCCCTCATGAGCCGAGAGATACGTTTAGTTCTGTTCTAACGAGTATGCTGAAAATGCATTTCTTTCACTCAGTTAACCTAGTAGCAGATGTTTGCAGCTGCTCAGTTTAAACTGCTATTAGCTGGATGCATTAGTTGACAGATGTAGTATCAAACTACAGTGGCTGAGGTATCTTAACATTGCAGTTTGTTTTGAGAATTCCAGGTATACCAGCACACAGCCACCATTTATGCTGTGGCAATTTGTTTTAGAACAGTAGAAATGCTAAATGCTCGTCTTTTTCCAATCAACAACTTTGCATATAAATACCTGGCACACACACAGCAAAGCCTATTGCTGCAGTGTACCAGAAACCCGTATCTACTTCTGAAGGGAAAAATATGTTCTTGTATCCACAAAGAGAAATCTACAGCACATAAACAAAAGCACTGGTGTCCGGGATAGAAGAGCTAAAATACTGGAAAGTACAAGCTTGACTTGGCTGTAAGACGTCTATTTTAGGTAGCGAAACACAGAATTTATCAGATGGCTACAGGAAACTGATAAGGAAAATACAATATACTTATAAGCTGTAAAGTTACAGACTCTGCCATGCCTTTCTTATAGAACCTACAGCCCTCTGGTCTGTTGTCTATTGCTGTGTTTTGCTGCAGTGAGGAAGTTTGGGAATATTGTACTTAAGGAACTGTGTTTTTTGAAGAAAAGCAAGGAATTTGGCAGCTGAGGGTCACACATAGGCATTTCAGGACTGAGGAAATTAAAATATGGATTAGCTGTTTCTGTTGAAACCATCCATAGCCACCTTGTCAGTTACAGTAAAATGATGTAAGAGGTCCAATTTAATCCATTTAGATTCCTTTTGTACTTATCAGAGAGAAAACCACACACGCGTGCAAACCATCATTCTCAGATGTGTTTTTCAGCGTGAGATGACTTGTGTTACAGAGGCACCTATTTGTCTCTGCTGTTCATGGAGCCTAGACTGCTCAGATGGAGATGTCTCAAGTGCCAGAATTAACACATGATTAATCTACATGAGAGAGCTCACAACTCTAACAGGTTGCTGGCAGCAGGAGGCAGGGCCAGAAGAGCTCTGGCGGTGCAGCCAGGGCAGCTCACAGGACTACCACTCCCCACTGCTTTGCTGGAGCCTCCTTTCCTGCAGCAGAGGTGGGTGAACAGAACATGCTGCACATCTCAGGTGCTTCAGCAAGTCTGAAATTAAGAGATCTCAAACCTTGGTTCCCTGGGACACGTTCAGATCTTCACATGTATTTTAGAGATAATGTATTCCCTTCCGCCATCTCTGCCTGTGGTAACCTTGGCCAGAGGAGTGGCAGAGCACTGCTGAAGTTCAAGGACTCTTTGCTGCTTCCAAACAAGCACACAAACTCTGCAATTCCCCTACAGGCAAGTTTCCAAGTAGCCACTAGCACAAGGCTTCCCCTAAGCTCACTTACAGGATGTTTCACTGGGAAGGAAACTGGCCTCCAAGCAGCACATTTCTCACATTCATTTGCCTCTCCTGTTTCACTGTATTCTCACCGCTCCTTCCCAGCTCATCTCGTCTCACTGACCTGCTTTATTTACCTCCTTTTATATTTTCAGCTATTTCATCACCGTGCCATCTTTCTTCTAGCGCTCCCCTTGCCTGGCTCCCCTTCACTCCCTACAGGTCTCTGCTGGCTTCTTCCCTTCTCCATCCATCACGTAGTGACCCCAGTTCTTCATCTCAAGCTCTTCTCTTTGCCATGGCAACATACCGTGTCCTCAGTGCACTCTGAAAGGTCTCTCATATGTGATTCTTAGAAAAACCCTGTTGATTTTCATCCTATTTACAAAAACCGCCTCCTGCAGGAATGTCCAGCTTGAGTACCAAAACCACTGTCTGATTTTGAGAACTAATTTCTTATTCTCAAGATGCTGAAACGTTTTCTAAATACTTCTAAGACAAAGATTCACAGAAATCTACAGTTTGCCATGAATGAAAATGAGTTAAGTTAAAACTAGAGATAAAACTTAAATTCATCAAACAATCCAAAAGTCTGGATGTGCAGAATGCTCGTGAAAATGGAATTTCACCTTACTCTCTCAAGCCTCACTTTACTTCCCAGGACTTTCCTGGCCCTTACAGGAGTAAATTCCCTTCTTCCTTTTATTTCTGCTTGCAACTTGAAGGTACAGGGAACTGGAGATTTTGCTAAAACCACTCCGAACACCACCTGGATGCTGGTGCCCCTTTCTTCTTCCCAGGAGCACAGCCCCTTCCATGCCACTGCGGGACTTCTGCTTTTCCCTTCTGTAGGGGAATTTCTGCTCCCTTCCCCCTGCTCAGACTGAGGTCTAATGCACACAGGGGGGATCTGTTCTCCATCGTGTGGTCTGGGCTCAACAAGGGACCCATGAGAGCAGTCCATACCCAGACCCATCAATGAACCTCTTCCTTCCCTCTCAGCTTTGTTGGTGGTGCTACGAGGAAAGCTGTGACCCATCTGTGCCGCCTGCTCCAACCACCTAAGAATACCTGTGCCCCCCAGCAGCCTTAATTGTTCTGGGCTGCCAAAGCAGGCCTTGTGAACGAATGAAGCTGGAGCAGCAGCTTCACAGTCAGCTGAGAGGCAGCTCAGAGCTCTCCAGCCTGCAGCAGGACTTCCCAAGCAGTCTGTCTCACTCTGCAGGACACCTCCCTGATCTCAAACCCTTACTTGCTTCTCCGGAACCAATTCCTCTTGCTGTTCCACAGCTGAGGGGGCCAGGAGTCATGGCAGGAGCAACACGTTGCCCCTTGGTGTGGGTTGGGGAGGAGGGGGCTTTCCTTCCTCCAACCTCCTCTAGTTGCATTCCCCTGGGCAGCTGCTGAGCATATTCTGGTGCCAGCTGGTCTCCTGCTGCACACTTGTTCAGTGGGTTGGAGCTCCTGTTCACATCAGTAACCACGGCTCCCAGAGCCCCAGGTCTCCTGGGCTGGCGCAGGAGGTGGGCTATGAGCAGGGCAAGCACTGCTGAGGGCAGCGAGGGCTTGACAGGGGCCAAGCACCTCCCTGCCGGCTTTTCCCCCCTGCACCCCAAACTCTCAATGCTGCTGCCTGTGTGGCACAGCAGCATGACACCAGTCCCGTGTTTGAGGGTCTTTTATCAGCAACATGAACTGAGCAAGCCCTCAGTAAGAACCTGCATGTGTGCAGCCACTCTGTGCAGGTGGGCAGCACCTGTCAGATTCCCAGTGGGCATGCAGAGATCCTGCACTCACAGGTCTCCCAAGCTAGACACGAGCTGCTATAGCTGGGGCTAAAAACCAGCTGTCATCCCCCACAGACCGTCACTGCAAGGAGCTGTCAGCCCCCAGCCAAGGCGCTCAGGCAACAGGGCAGCTGGATCCCATTTCACTCAGACACGCAGTGCCCTGGCTCTTTCCTTGCTCTCAGGAGGAGGCTGCTGATCCATGACCCTTGCATGCTGCCTGCTGAGCCCCAGAGTCTCCCCTTTTACAGGCTGATATCCCAGGTTTGGGCGGCTCTTGCTTAGCTTGCCAGGCAGTGATCTAGGCACAAGGTCCTGCTCTTCACGTGTGGCAGACTCTGGCCATCTTGCAAAAACTTTGCATTAACCAAATGACCAAAAAAATCTCACAATACTTGCCTCTAAATGCATAGCACAGCATTCTCACACGTTACTAAACTGCTCAGAAAACAAAATACCAATCTGCTATTGCTACCCTACCCACCTGCAGAAAGCAAGTTTTCCACGCAGCAAACACCAGAGCCATGAAGCTGGGGCAGCAGAGATGCTGCTTTTTCTGCAGGCCTTGGGATACAGCTTGAGCTCACCCGTGGTTGGATGTTCAGCCACAATTCCTTCCAGGGAAGGCTGGAGAACCTGTGCAGCAGCAGGGAAGTGGCTCTGCATGAGGCATGCTGCTGGGCAGGAAGCCTCACAGAGTCAAGGCTCTGTGCATCTCCTGTCCTCCGTGTTCTGCCTCATCTCACATACAGCCAAGCTGCATGCACCAGGCTTTGCTGCTGAAGGGGTGAGTCTTTACAAAAAGGCTATGAAATAATGAACTGTGGAGTTCGGATGGCCACACCGGCCCTGCTGCCTCTTTGGCTCTGTGTTGTTGCCACGCGTTCAGAAATTTTCTGCAAGCCTGTAGCCTAAATCTGGCAGTGAAAAGTCTGTGCAAGAAAT